GTTGCGCTTGGGGACGCCTGGGGCGGAGCAGCTGGGGTGCTGCCGGGTTGGTCCCGCAGCGCCACTCTTCAGCCCCGTGGGACCAACCCGGCAGCACCCCAGCTGCTCTGTCCCAGGTGTATCCAAGTCGGCTGCTGCTGAAACTGATCAGGGGCTGATTCCAGGAAACTGGGACAGAGCTGTTCTGCCCCGGGCTTCCTGGAGTCAGCCGCTGGTCAGTTTCAACAGCAGCTGAATCCACATGCCTGGGGCACAGCAGCTGGGGCGCTGCGAAACCAACCCGGCACCCCCCCAGCTGCTCTGCCCCCGGCTTCTCCGATTCAGCCACTGGTCAGTTTCAGCAGTAGCTGAATCGGGGAAGCCGGGAGCAGAGTAGCTCCAATGGTCCGGCTGCCTGGAGCACTTCCGGGTTCCTGATGGTGCCAGACCATCAGGAGTGCCAGACCATCAGATGCTGGACCAATGGAGTTTTACTGTATATTGCCACGTCTGTTAAGTCACTACTCTCAGTATAAATCAGTGAAAAAGCTGTAAGGCAAAAAAACAGGCAATAATGCCATTAGATAGCTGCACTGTTTGGGTTATGAAAGGATAATCATTCTTGTCTTCCTCAGCCTTTCAACTCCATTGGATGCAGGCAGTCATGATGTCTCTCTCAACGTTTTCTCCATTTTCATGACCCTGTACCTCAGTGTTTCTTAAACTGTGTTCCGCGGCACACTGGTGTACCGCAAGGCAGCCAGCGGTGTGCCGTGGAGAACAACAGAATTCAAAATGGCCACCCTTAACGGGGCAGGGGACCTTTTTTTCCTTAATAACTTTCCCTCTGTCCTTTTTTTTCCTCAATAACTTCCCCCTCAACCCTTCCCCCCCCCCAACTTTTTTTTCCTCAACAAAAAAATCCTTGATGTTCCTCATTTAAAAAAAATTGTTTGGTGTTCCTCGGTCTTAAAAAGTTTAAGAAACACTGCTATACCTGATTTTTCTTTCTCTCTCTCTCTCTCTCTCTCTCTCTCTCTTTCTGGATGGCTAACTTTTAGACTGTTGCTTCAGTTTTTCCACCTCTGTCTGTTCCCACTCGTGGTCAGTTTCCAACAAGGTTCGGTCCTTGGCCTTTCTTTCCTCCCTCTGAACTGTAGCCCAGGGAGACCCTAGCCACACTAGTGGTCTCCAATTGCATTATTCTTCAAGTAGAGCGCCACTGTAGAAGTGCTTGCATCCTTGTGCTGTCAATCAGAGAACTTCAGTAGCAGTGTCTGTTAGGCCCACACATGTTCTGTCTCTCCTTGTTCCCAACCACAAGGCTAGTTAGTGTACCTGGGCTAAACCCCCACAGTTCCTTCTCAACTGTCCCTGGATGGAGGCAGAGCCTCTGGGTGTAGACCATTATGGCCATTACTTTCCATTGTGCATTTCTAGAGTACTTAGTATAGTTCCCTTTTATTTTTCTCTTTAAAATGAAATACTTCTTCCCCCACTTTTTCCCCTTGTTGGAGACCTTTCTCCCAATGGGGTATGCATGATACACTGGCATTCAAGAAACAATCCCTTTCTTAGACAAGAACGTCCAGTGTATTTATTGCCTCTGGGAAAGCAACATCGAATGACAACGTGGTCTCAGTTATCTCAGGCCTCAGTCTCACAAGAATAGAATGCTCAGACGGATAATTATCTTCATGGAGGTAGCCCTCTGGCCCTCTCCAGCCCTTCACCATAAGTCTCCTGACAGATGTGAGTCTTACCTACAACCCTCAATGTCTAAACACTGCAGGTCAAAGAAACAAGCCACAACCCTCTCTCCCAAATTGTTGAAGCAGGAAGTCCCCACAAGGAGCCCCAAGATAGCATTCCAGTCCATTACCCATGGCTCACAGAAGTTTGCAGGCCTGTGGGCCCAATGGGCAGGGGCGCAGGATCAACAGCACCAAGGGATAAGGACAGAAAAAAAGCATTTTGTTAAGAGAACTGCTAGTACACAAGTTAATATCAGTATCAGCATCTCACCCAGCACCAGAGCAGCCAGTACAGACAAGATCTCTGTTTCCTCCATTACTGCCAGCTGCACCATGTCAGGTGGTCCTATCAGAATTCCATCTCTCTAGGGACCTCCATGTATCTGATATACCAGAGTCTCCTCTTCTTGGTCCTGGGACATCTGTGCCAAAACTTTGCTTAGCACAGGAGTCTTCCCCGCTGCCCTGCCACATTGCCCCACTTTGTAGTGAGGGCTTGGATAGTGCACCCAAGGAGATAGCAGCATCATAGTATTCCTCCTCGGCTCCTTACAGTGTCCAATAGCAACAGGCCCTTCGATCATGCTCTCAGCTGGTCCCACCATCATCATTTTGATACAGTCACCCGTTGGCCCAACCACCTCAGGGGCCATACTAGGATTCTTGGGATGCATATCACCAGCATTCAAACCTGAAGCACAGCTGAGCAGTACACCTCATCTGGTGCTGATAGAGGCAGGAACTAACATTTTTGGGAGGAAGGTGCACTGCGTGGCCATGCTTCAGTTTTGAATTGCTAATTACTGAGCCTGATGGCGAAACACGACTATGTAAACTGAACAATGTTATTGATTATCTGCCTGAGTTACATTGCAACCCATTTAAGGCCATTACCAGGAGGGACATTTAGTAGCAAAGACAAAACCACAGTTGGTCCTTTACATAGCTGACACAGTGGCCAACTCCATCTCTATGGCAGTGGTGATGCTACATGCGGCATGACCCCGTCTGTCAGGCTTTCCAAAGAGGTAGTTGAATGCACTACGGTCTTAGTGCAAGGGTCTCAAACTCACAGCCTGTGGGCCATCCAAGGCCAGAGCAGTTGTGCAGTCCAGCCCAGGCTGCCCCTCTCCACTACCCCCTCTGCTGCCTCTCTTATCCAAGACTGCAGGTGGAGGGTGGCAAGTGGCTGTACGGGAGCCACCTCCCCTTCCCCTGCATGTAAATGTGTAACCGCTGAAATTTTCAGCAGTTACATGTTTACCTAAATAAACTCATTTTAACATCCCTAGTTGGTTGAGGTATTGATAGACCACTTCCCACAACTGCTACAGCCAACGACCACTAACCACCTATTTGGCCACCTGGTGGTGGAATAGCACCTGGGAAAGCATAATAGCAGACCAGTGTGTCCTAGAGATCATTCACAATGGGTATTCTCTCCATTTTACCTCTCTGCTTCCTTCACAACACCCTTCCCTCCTACCTTTTTTAGGACTCTTTTCATGAGAGATTACTATGCCAACATGGGCAATAGGTAGCATAGACAAGGGAAGGTTGTGCTTCCCCAAACAGGCTGGTGTGACTGGACTCATGCTCTGCCAGTAGGCCACCACCTGCCTGCTACCCCAGCTCCCTTCTCAATGTGGCCAAATCTAGGGCCACCTGTTTGCTTACTTACTTCTCAGTGTAAATGGCCTTTCAAATAGCAATTATCTCTGCTAGAAGAATAGGGGAAACTGCAGCTCTGATGGCACATCCCCCCCCTACATGGTGTTCTTTGAAGCCAAGTTTATGCTCAGGCTTCATCCACAATTCATTTCTAAGGTAACCTCTTTGTTTCTCATGAGCCAACTGATTTACCTTTCAGCCTCCTACACCAACCTTCACCAAGTCTACAGGTATTACACACAGTAGATATCAGGAGAGCCCCAGCCTTCTATCTGGATAGGACAAAGGTTTTTAGAATGTCTCCTGGACTTTTTCTTGTCGTCGTAGAGAGATCCATGGGCTCAGCTATACTGGCCTCGAGATTCTCCAAATTGGTCTTAAACTGGATTAGACAGTCAAGTTTGTAATACTCTATAACCCCTCCAGATACTATTTGCATGCACTTTGCATGCAATCTCTGAGTCCCCTGCTGACCCTAGGCTCCATGCAGCACTGCCACTTGAAACTCCACAGAGAGCATAGGGCCAGCAGGGCACTGGTTGAGTCCCCCGCTGGTCCCTGCTCCATGCAGCGCTTTTGCCTATGAAGTGTAGCAATAGCCCCAGGGAGGCTGAGGCGATAAAGGTGCTCTGATAAAGGCACAGGTACCCTTATCAACTAATCAGATAGTCCATGCAAATTGCATTGACTGACTATTCGATTAGCCAGTTAATCTAATTTTAACATCCCTAGTGCATGTACCCTTCATTTATTTCTGATCTTAATCTTCTATTACTGGAGCTACAGGAGCATGAGCAGAGGATCAAAAGATGAGATCCTCGATGTTGAATATCCTACATATCTTTAACAAAAAAGTGTATTATTAATATCTCACGGGCATGAATTCTGCTCACACTTTCAGAAGTGTAGAGGTTAGAAATAATTTCATTTTTGATAAAGGCAAAGGGAAGTAGAGCTGGGATTACACAACTTTTAAATGCTTGGATACATAAGTTGTGTGTCTTTTACAGTTCAATATGTTTAATAACTAAGCATTCAGAGAAATTATTGGTTTTGGCCTGCTTGACAAGACTATTGAGATTGATATGAAACATTAGACAGACAGTAGTATAAAATATATGTAGCTATGAAAATGTCTGTAGTGATCTTTTATGGTTTATTGATGTCTTTTTATTTTTGAAAGGCAACAGATAGTAGTGAGGACGAGGACGACACCCTTATAGGTCCAATGCCTGTTAAAGGACCAATAGAATCTAATGTAGCTAAAGACTTTGAACGCAGAGCTCAGCGAATGAAAGAAAAACTTACTTCCTCAGACCATGTAAGTTGTTAATTTTGACTGTACACTGTTTTTGTGGCTAAAATTTACACAAACCTTTAGATGAGTCCAGCCATATGAACTGAAGGTGCTAAATGTCTGTCTTGCATAAGAAAATGTTGTCTAGAAAAATCGACATTTTTTTAAACTTTTGCATATTTTTCTTTCCTTAAAGGATGGGTCCACACAAGTTACGAGGGAGTCTTGGATGACTGAGCTTCCACCAGAATTGAAAAGCTTTGGCTTGGGCCCAAGAACTTTCAAGAGAAGAACAGATGAGAAATCAGGAGATAAGTCAATTTGGACAGATACTCCAGCTGACAGAGAGAGGAAAGCTAAAGTGAGCCTTCGTATAAACATGCAGATGGTCTATATGTTGTTTATTTTCTCAGTCTTCTTAAAGTTCATCTCTGCCATCCAGGGCAAGCCTAATAAAAGTACTCTCATTTGCAGGGCTCGACAAATTATGGAAAACCCTACTCGCCAGACAAAAAAGGGACTCACCACCCTCCCCCCTCCCCCCCCCCCCCGCCACGCCTCCTAATTCCTTCTCCACTTTATTAAGTTGTTCTGAGCAAGGGAAAGGCGAGGGAAGCCTGAGCGAAGGAGAGAGGCCGATAGCGCCTCAATGTTTAATTATTAATAAATATCTTATAAATTTCTACTTTTCTCTCTGCTGCCAAGTCTCCTCCCCTTGCTACATCAGCTCCCCTGGTGCCTGCTGCCCTCCCAACCCCTCACCCTCCTCTGCTGTCCTGACTCCTACCCTTCTTGCTGCCCTCAGCCTTCCTGAGACCTGCCCCCTCCCACCAGCCCTTCTCTCCCTCCTGTGCCCAGTCCTCCAGTAGCCCCATTCTGATCAAGTGAGCTACCCCTCCTCATCCCCTCTCCTAATATCTACCTCTACACACCTGCCCTGCCTCTCTCCTCTGGTGCTGGTCCCTCCCCTACAGGTGTCTGCCCTTCTGCTTCACCCCCAGAATCTCCTGGCACCTGCACCCTCCTGGTTCCTCCCCCTTCCCTCACTGCCCCTGCCCCATTTGCCCTCTTTTTCCTTGATACCCATCCCTCAGCCTCCATCCCTCTCATGCCCCTGTGCCTTCACACATACCTTGCTCCATCCCCGCCTTCCTCATGCCCACCCCTTCTTTCAAGCCTTCTCCCAGCACCTCATTGCACGAGGTGTAACAGTTAACTCGAACTAAGGACTTCGTTTGAGTTAACGTTTGACTGCCGCATGTAGCCACAGGCAGTTAGTTCGGACTAAGGGGATTTAAAAATGCCGCCCGGACGGGAACATGCAAATAAATCCCAGGATATTTAAATCCTGGGTTTCATTTGCAACTTTGAATGCCTACATTAGCCTCCCTAGTTTGAACTAGGGGGCTAGTGTAGACATACCCTTGGAGTTTTGCTTGTCTAAGCAAAGTCTTCAAAATCAGGTCCTTATCTTCAAAACCATATCTTCAAAATCAGGTCCTTGAATTTCAGTGGGAGGTTTATTTGGATGCAGACCACAGGATCAGGTCCTGAAAGAGTTACTTATTTGTTGAGGGCCTGATTTACCACTGTGTGCGTCTGATTCCTCACTGGTATTTCAAAGCATTGCACCAGAGTGCATGTGCAGTAGCACAGTAGGGACTCAAACTACCCCCTTTAAAAAAATAATTTCCCAGACTTGACATATTTAGCTACATATTTAGATTACACGGGTACAAGGAACAGTGTGTGTGGGGGGGAGGACAGGAGGCGCAGAGGGATGCAGGGATCGTGGGGAGCGGGGTGCAGTAAAGGCGCGGGGAACGGGAGGGGCAGAGGGATCGGGGTCTAGGGGTAGTGCAGGGAACGGGCAGTACAGAGCTGGGGGGGGAGCAGGGATCAGGGTGCAAGGGCGGCGCAGAGCCAGAGGGAGAGCAGGGGATCCGGGGTGCAGGGGTGGCATGGTGAATGGGCAGTGGGAGCCAGACGGGGCGCAGGGCGGGCGCAGCGAGCCAAGCGGTCGGCAGGGAGTGGTCTCTCGCTGGCGAGGGGCTGGGGCTAGGGTCGGGGCTGTGGCAGGACTGGAGTTGGTGGGACGAGGACTGGCTCCGCCGCGCGCCGCAGCAAGCTGCCGGGGACATGCAGCCAGAGCCGAGCTGCTGCGGCCCTTTACAATCAGTGGGCCACGTCACGCCAGCGTCCTGGCGTCTGCCGGCGCCCTGCCTCCTCGCGCCGGAGCTGCACACGGGCAGCTCGGCACTGAGTATCGCCACAGTTCCTTCTCCCTGGCAGCGCTCTGCTCCTCCGCGGGCTGACAGATTGGATGGGGCCGTGCTGCCTGTAGTGCGGGCTTCAGCCAGCCCGTCACAATGGCCCACCGGGCCAGTCTGCCCCTGCACTTGCCAGCTGGCAAAATCTACTCACCGCGGGCGAGTACATTTGTCGAGCCCTGCTCATTTGGTTACCCAACACAAAAATTTCAACCGAAGGTAGTTATTGTCTTCCTTACATTATATGCACACACAGTAGCAGATTTAATGGTAGTCATCCTGCAGCAAAAAACCTTCAAAACCAGACTTCAAAGAGAAACTGCTGAGCTATAGTTCATCTACAAATTTGACATCATCAGTTTAGGATGAAACGAAGACTGTGAATGGCTAGCCAACTACAAAAGGAGCTTCTCCACTCTTGGTGTTCACACCTCCAGATCAGCTGCAAGAAGTGGGCCTCACTCCCTGACTCCATTAACCTTGTTATCTCTATGGGTACGTCTAGACTACCGCGTTTTGTCGACGGAAGTTTTGTTGACAGATACTGTCGACAAAACTTCCGTCGACAATTTGTGTCCAGACACATGGAGTTCTGTCGATAAAGCAAGCCACTTTGTCGACAGAACTCCGTAGTCTGGACGCAACGTTACAGGCAATAACACCTTCTGTCGACAGAAATCTGTCGACAGAAGGTGTTTTGCCTCGTAAAATGAGGTATACCAGCGTCGACAAAACCGCGGAGTTCTGTCGACGTTATGTCGACAGAACTCCGCGGTAGTGTAGACGCTGGTATTGTTTTGTCGACAAAAGTCCACTTTTGTCGACAAAACTAGGTAGTCTAGACACACCCTAACATTATTCTGGACTACATATTTATACCTGCCTCAGGAAATTTCCACTACATGCATCTTTGCCCACGAAAGCTTATGCTCCAATACAACTGTTAGTCTACAAGGTGCCACAGGACTCCTTGTTGCTTTTGCAGATCCTGACTAACACGGCTACCCCTCTGATACTTACATTATATAACGTCTGTCTTTTATTGCCTGGGAAGTCCACTGTTCTCGATCAATCAGTTACCATGTGGCCAGATTGTTTCTTATCAAGCAGAACAAAAATGCCTGGGATGCTAGGGGACACAGGTACAAAGGTTCTATCTTGACCTTCTTCTCTAATATTTAAGAAGTATAGATTTGCCATCATTTTTAAGCATGCTGCCTACTGCTAATTGCTGTCTGCTTCCATTCATTAGGAAACGCAAGAGGCAAAGAAGTCAACCAGTAAAGGTGATGAAGAAATTGTATTATCGGCAAGAGACAAGATACTGGCTGAGCAGCTGTCTTCATATAATGCAAGTATAAGTACAAAATGCTTTTTCTTCTAGGTTTCCTTTAGTTCTTCACTCTTTGAGTTTCTCATTCCTAGCACTGTTGGTTTCCATGGTAATATCACTACATCCTTCGCTTCTAGGGCCCAAATCTGCAACCATTTAAGCCATTAGAGAATTTGCCCTAGACTTCAACAAGAGCATATTGGATCCTTCCACTGCTGCTGAAAAAGTGTCTGCTTTGGTGTGGGGGTGTTTATATACAGTTTCTTAGATCAGTTTCAGTTTGTGTTTTACTTCAATGATTCCCAGGGTAGAACTTCCATTGCTGGGAATAAACAGTTTCAATTCAAACAGTAAAAGATTTCACTGAATCACAGGCATCCCTGGAAGAAAACAACATTTAAGGTTTAATTAAAAGGTTAAAATACAGATTCATCCAAAGGAGGCTTAGATGTGCCTAAGAGATCAGTACCATAATGTCTGTCTTTTGGGTAATGTTTCTAGTTTGAAATAATACTTAGTTTTTGCAAAAGTAGTTTCAGTTTTCATGGATAAATATTGGTAATTAAAAATCTGAGCCTCACAATTACTTTGCTTCCCCCATCCACTTATGTCTCAGAGCATGGGTTATTGTCTGTCCTACAGCTGCTCCTTTCTCTTCGATTTTGTCTACAGACATTAGCTGGAAGACAGTCAAATCTCCTGAGAGAAAACAATTAACTTAGAGAACAGCAACCTTGGTTTATATTAGAATAATTGAGTATATGGGGCACTCTTAATTTATTTGCAGTTCATTAGGTGACGTCTCTTTTTATATTTATAGGGCTTACAGATCCAGAGCTATTAGTGTTCAGTCTTGAATTTCTCTGTATTTCCTGCTCCTTGTTCAGTTGTGGACATTACATAAATGCAATTCTGCTAATAAGCTATATTTTGTATTCTGTTCTCTCCCCTACCAGGGAGAAACATACTATTACTCTGCATGGTTATTTGATGTCTCTTCACATGTTTTGAAAAATATTCTGTGTAGAAACAAGACCTTGGTCATTTTCAGATGGTTTTTCTTCCTTTCTCCATTGACTTCCTACCAGGGACATTTTCATTGAAAGTGCTTTATATCTATAAATGGTTTCTTAATTTTAGCATCTGCAGTGATAGTACCAAGTAACCAATCCTCTGGTGTAACTATTAAAATTAGTGGAATGAATCTGGCCTGTGATCTGATGTTTTTTCAGATATCCAGTTCCTGATATTACTGGAAGATGGTGACTACAGACGGGGAATACACAGAAGGAAAAGTAGAGTTTAACAAAGAGCTCGTTTTCATGTAGAGGTCATTAAAAATACAGACCGAGATATAAGCAAGTCTGCGTATATTTAGACTAGTTTGTGCCAGGCCTTTGCAAACCCATGGGATGGGATGGGAGTACAAAGAACTGGCTAGCCATAGTAGGAGAGGCACACTTTGCTCTCAGAGGATGGTGCAACATTTTCTACTTAAGCCTGATACTGCCCCTATTTAAAATCAGTGGGAGTTTTACCATTGACTGTCAGCACAGTTAGGTTCTCATTCAGCAAAGCCTCTAAGCCTTTGCTTAATTTCAAGCATGTGAAATTTTGACTATAGCAGACTAGTCAAATGCGTAAACTTAAAGCACATGCTTAAGTGTTTTGCTGCATTAAAACCAAGATTTAGTACTATTTTCCTGTAACTACATACAGTGACAGTTTGAGGCTGAAAAATCCATTTTTAAACTGTGCATAAAAAAGTGTATTTTTTCTAATTTGTATTATCCTGCACTTGTCTACACTGATTTTCATTTACTTCCATGTTGCTTACTTAACCTTGTCTTTCCTCAACCATCCTAATTCTTGGCACAGCTTAAGTCATTTTTCTTTTTTCTCTATTTCACCATTATTCTGCAATATTCATCCTCCTTCTTCCCCTATTTCCAGGACTCTCAAAGATCAGAATCTCTTATGGACATGCATCAGAAAAAATTAAAGATCAAAGCAACTGAAGATAAGAAGCCTCAAGAAAGAAGGCCATTTGACCGAGATCAGGACCTCCAAGTCAATCGATTTGATGAAGCTCAAAAAAAGGCTCTAATAAAGAAATCCAGAGAGTTAAGCACCAGGTTTTCACATAGCAAAAGCAATATGTTTTTATAATACAAAGATGTGAAGTTTCTTTTAGGAAAAATCAATCAAAACTTCAGTGATTTCCAAAACTAGTACATTTTTTGTAAATATTTGTTTGCAAAATAAATTTCCTTATGCTTAAAAAGCATGTTGATATGAGAATTATTTTTCTTTATATGTAAATATTCTATTTTGTAATTTTTTGTTGTGCATATTTCTTATCTGTAGTGTGTAAAAATCAGAAAAGATATTTAGTTCAGAATTGTTTCTAAATAAATCAACTTATTTAAGTGTTGTTTCCCAACTTAACATTTCAAAAAGGCTAACTTTAAGTGTGGTTATTGTGACACTGAAATTTAGCTAGGCCAAGAAAGGGTTCATCACCGCAACTCTGGGAGCCTTGCAACTCTGGGAGCCTTGAATGCTGTGCTGCTGTGGCTCATAGCCCAGACACCAGCCAGCCTACAAGCATGCAGCTCTCACTTTGGCTTCCACCACCCAGTTACTCCTTACAGAGGGACCTCCACAGCCTGCCAGCCCCACGTTCTCCCCAAAAGTTGTCCTTCTGCAGTGTTTGGCCCCTCTTATTGTAGCACCCACAAAACACTATCAAGATTGCTGCTCCTTTAACAAGGCAGCTCACAGCAGCTGATTAACTTAACTGGGGTTATCTTACCTTTCCTTCAATCACAGTGCTGAGTTGTTTTATGGTAAAATAAAAAGTTTAACAACAGAAATAGTGATGGAAATTGTTTTAAAATTATGCCAAAACTCAAATGCAACAAATAAGAGAGTTTTTGTTCCGAAGAGTTCTCAACATAGTTATTCTTCCAGCTGATTGGCTAGTCTTTGCCCAGGATCCAACTGGTGAAATTTCTCCCCCCCTCCCCCATCTCCTGCTTTATAGTCCAGTAAACATTTGAAATGTATAAATCTGAAATGTATCCCCAGTTAAAGTTTCTTTCCCCTGCTAGTTCCTCCCCTGCTTGTGATCCTCTTGCAGTCTCCAATACAAATGGCTGGCCCACTTTCCTTCACCACATCTGGCTTCAGGTGTCAGCTCCTTTCCTTTATCTGGAAAAACCTGTTTCTCAGCTTACCCTAATATTCCTGGCGTTCTGGTACATTGGTATAAATCTTTACAGGTTAATTGTACATCGTATTATGAACATAACATAAGAACGGCTGTACTGGGTCAGACCAAAAGTCCATCTAGCCCAGTAGCCTGTCTGCCGACAGTGGCCAACACCAGGTGCCCCAGAGAGGGTAGACTCAAGACAATGATCAAGCGATTTGTCTCCTGTCATCCTTCTCCAGCCTCTGACAAACAGAGGCCAGGGACACCATTTCTATCCCCTGGCTAATAGCCTTTTATGGACCTAACCTCCATGAAATTATCTAGCTTCTCATTAAACTCTGTTGTAGTCCTAGCATTCACAGCCTCCTCTGGCAAGGAGTTCCACAGGTTGACTACAAACTGTGTGAAGAAGAACTTTCTTTTATTAGTTTTAAACCTGCTACCCATTAATTTCATTTGGTGTCATCTAGTTCTTCTACTATGGGAACTAATAAAGAACTTTTCTTTATTCGCCCTCTCCACACCACTCATGATTTTATAGACCTCTATCATATCCCCCCTCATATAACCGGTGATTTACTAGTTTTGCGATATTAAATGCCCCCCTTCAATAAGTGTCACAACAGCATGAGGTGCACTGAGTTGGTCAGGCCAACTGAGATTCATTGCCCCATAGCAGGGAACTCCAGGGAACCCTTACAAGGGTTCTGAAACTCTGGGTCTGACATGAAGTCCATGGAAAGACTCCCATTGATTCCAGTGGGCTTTCAATCAGGCTATTGTAGGGTACACTCTTCCTTGGAGTACCCCTTTGCATAGTACCTGATGTTACCAATATCCTTAATTCCAGCACCTCCTGCAGGATTCCTGCCTCTCCCCGGGTTTTCCATGGCTCAGCCATCCAGTCAAGTTCCAGAATTCAAACCCTTTCTGAGTACTCAGAGTCCCAATCGACAAAAAGCTCTTCAACCCTCTTGGCTTAACTCATTTTTTTCTCTTGTCAGAATGCCAGCACCCCTTGCTTCTCCCTGCTGTCAGCCCAAATACAGCAAAGTGGTGCACTGCCTCTTTTGGGGTGCTTTTCTGTTCCCTGTTTCTTTAAAGCCCTAACTCAGAGCTCCCCACAGAAGTCTACCCTGCTTACTGTGGGCCTCTTCTGTTCCCTTCTTGGCTCACAACCCTCAGGATCTCCTCCCAGCTCTATTTCTGTTGTTCAACTCTCCAGCCCCAAACTGGTGAGCCTCTCTAAAAGCACCTGACAGCAAGCATCAACGACTGTCGCCCTTGGGCTTGGTTATCTTCCTGTGAGGCTTTCCTTTTTACCTCTAAACCATAACTCAGGGCTACTTCCTTACATAAGCCAGCACCGGTTCTCCCTAACTGGTAGGCACACCACTTTCCTTCTTCCTCACATCTGGGATCTCCCTCCCTACCTGCACAGTCTCCTATTTATGTTGTGCAGGCAATCTTTATATAGAACTCAGCTTCTCTCTTGCTAATTGGCTAACAAGCCACCACCTGTAATACCTGCCAGTTTCCAAGATCGTTTAAAGAGTCATGGTGTGCCTGATAGGTCTTGATGGTCCCTGAAAGCCCCAGGCTCTGTATCACCTAACTGGAGCTGCTGCTGAGAGGCATTCATTCAATAGCTTTCACCTAATGAAAAGGTATTGTTTTCTGAAAAGTTTTCTGAAAAGTGTGTGTGTGTGTGTGTGTGTGTGTGTGTAAATCATGAAGTATTGTATGTAATTTGTCTTAATTTTTCTTCAAGTATTCAAGGCAGATGCTGAAGTGTGGTTTTGTTAGCCTTCAGTTGGCTTGCCTAGATGTGACAAGGCATCATTTGCTCTGCAAATCTGAGGCTACATCTAGGTTACATCCCTCTGTCAGCAGAGGGATGTAAATGAAGCACTTCGGAAGTGCAAATGAAGCCGGGATTTAAATATCAGGCGCGGTTCTTTTGAAAACAGGGCGCTTTTTTGAAAGATCCTGTAAACCTGAGGGATTTAAATATCCTGCGCTTCATTTGCATAATCACGCAATAGCGCTCCTTCAAAAATGTGCTATTTCGAAATTGAAACCGCAGTCTAGACATGGTTCTTTCAGAAAAGCACCCTGTTTTCGAAAGAACCGCTTCTAGACTGCGGTTTCAATTTCAAAATAGCACTTTTTTGAAAAAGCGCCATTGCGTGATTATGCAAATGAAGTGTGGAATATTTAAATCCCGGCTTCATCTGCACTTTCGAAGTGCTTCATTTACATCCCTCTGCCGACAAAGAGATGTAGTCTAGGCGTAGCCAGAGTGTTGTGATCTATGAGAAGGAAAGAAGTGCGTTTAACTCCAAGCCTATTTTGAGTTCGTATTGATCAAGCCATGGGCTGTGGGTGAAGCTTTCCCTTGCGGAGACTAGCCCCCTGCCCTGCCTTTTTTGGCCAAGGCCTCAGCCCTACTTTCTGCTCACAGTTCCCTGTCCCCCAATGGCTCCAGCCGGGATGGGAGGACTGAGAGTTCTGCCCTGGCTGGGGTCAAGCTCTCAGAGTCAGCTGGGGCAGTTCTCTGCCCTGACTGGAGCTCTGAGTCTGGAGGTACCCTACTCTCCTTTCTGTCAGTTGCTCTGCCTCTGGCCCCACCACATTCCATCCCATCCCCTATAATTCTCCCCAACCCACCCCCCCATGTTTGGTTTCCACCTCTCTCCCTTTGTGGCTCCTCCCTTGCTTTTTCCTTCCCACCTGTAGCTCCAAGACAGGAAAAACTTCTGTGCCCCCATTGCAGCTTGTATTCTTGTAACCATTTTTGACTCTTAAACCTCATTACTTGTACTCACCATTGATCTCTTTGTAGTTAATAAACTTGATTTTTTGTTTCATTTAATCCAATGTGTGTAAGTGTCCAGATAACTCCATTTGGGATAACAAAATGAGTACACATTATTCCCTTAAAGAAATAATGGATGTAATATATTTGCACTATCCAGAACAGGGCTGGGAAGTACAGGACATATATTTTTGAGGGGAAATCTGGAACTGGGGCTTTGTATGAGTTAGCCTCTGATAATCTTTAAAGCTGAATGGCAGCAGCACACACAGACATAACTGGGCGTGACTTGCATGCTGGAGGCTGGTTGTGAACAATCCAAGTTGCTTGCCACATCAGAAAGCCATTGTAATGGCCACCTCAGGGCACAGGACGGGTGACACAGCTACTCATTGGTCTGGATTGTATACATGTACCTGGTCTGGTGCTAGTCAATATTTTCATGAATGACTTGGATAACGGAGGGAATAGTATGCTTATAAAATCTGAGCACGAGACCAACCTAGGAAGGGCTGCACTCACTTTGGAGGACAGGAGATAAGGTTTCAAAGTGACTTTGATAAGTTGAAGAACTGGTCTGAAATCAGTAAGATGAAATTCAGTGAAGACAGGTGCAAAGTACTTCACTTGCGAAGGGAAAATCAAATGCACAAATGCTAATTGTGGAATAACTGGCTAGGCCAGTAGGACTGGAGTACTGGAGTACTGTGTCTCAGCTGGAGTACTGTGTCCAGTTCTGGGCGCTACATTTCAAGAAAGATGTGGAGAAATTGGAAAGGGTACAGAGAAGAGCGACAAGAATGATTAAAGGTTTAGAGAACATGACCTATGAAGCCAGGCTTCATGAACTGGGCTTGTTTAGTTTGGAAAAAAGAAGATTAAGGGGAGACATGATAGCGGTTTTCAAATATCTAAAAGGGTGTCACAAGGAGGAAGGAGAAAATTTGTTCCTCTTGGTTTCTGAGGACAGGACAAGGAGTAATGGGCTTAAAGTGCAGCAGGGGAGGTTTAGATTGGACATTAGGAAAAAATTCCTAACTGTCAGGGTGGTCAAATATTGGAATAAATTGCCAAGGGAGGTGGTGGAATCTCCCTCTCTGGAGATATTTAAGAACAGGTTAGATAGACATCTGTCAGGGATGGTGTAGACGGAGCTTGATCCTGCCTTGAGGGCGGGGGGCTGGACTCGATGACCTCTCGAGGTCCCTTCCAGTCCTATTATTCTATGATTCTATGATTCTATGACTGTTGAAAAAGAAGCAAAAGACAAATTGAATATGAGCCACCAATGTGATGCAGCTGTGAAGAAGGACTAATATTCTGAAGTGTATTAACCAGAGTGTTGAATGTAAGGTCCAGGTGGTATGTGGTCTGTGACACACAATGATGAGGCCATAGCAGGAGCTCTGGGTCCAATTTTAGGTGCCACTCTTTATGAAAGATGTGGGCAAACTGGAGAAAGTCCCGAGAAGAGCAACAAAAATGAAGAAATTTTTCGAAAACATGACATGCAAGGAAAGGTTAAAAAAACAGGCATGTTTAGTCTTGAGAGAAGAAGACTCAGAGGACCTGATAAGTTTTCAAATATGTTAAGGACTGTTACATGGAGGACAGCCATCAATTGTTCTGTGTGCGCTAAAAGTAGGACAAGAAGTAATTGGCTTAAGCTGTACCACAGAAGCTATGCTTTAATTAGGAAATCCTTTCTAATTATAAGGATAATTGATGGCTGGAATAAGTTACCAAGGGAGATTGTTGAATCCTCATCATAAATGGTTTTTAAAAACCAATTGCACAATTGGGAGGAGTTGTTAGGTTTACTTGGTCCTGCATCCTGTAGGGGTTATTTTGAAATTGGGAGCATCTACACAGCACTTATTTTGAAATAGAGCACTCTTCCTCCAACTTCTCTTACTCCTCGTACAATGAGGATTACAGGAGTTGGAGTAAGAAGTCCTCCAACTTGACCGTATTTCAATATAACTGCCTGTTGTGGAGCTGCGGACTAAGTTATTTTGAATTACGCTGGTTATTTTGAAATAATGTTGCTGTGTAGACATACCCTAAGTTACTTGACTGAGGGCTCCTTGAGTAAGGATTTCTCATATGAGTAAGATTTGCAGGATCAGGTCCTTCACCATAAAAAGTCTCTTGATGCTGAAGTGATTTCTGTGGGGACTGCATTTAATTTGGTTTTGAAGTGGAAGGTTATACAAAAAACAGACAGACCCGAGTCTACAGCAGCACAAATAGAGCATCACAGCCATTTTGCACTGCTTCAGCCAGTGTGCTGTGAGGGCTGGGGTACACAATTGTAATTATCAAAGCCTTGATATA